GAAAGTAAGAGGAAGAAACAATTTGTCTCTTTACTCCGCGAGCTTGCTCGATCGGTTTTCGCATGGCATTCCCGGTACTCCACACAATTGTTCCATATTCGTCTCGCGAACACATGGTACACACATGATTTTTTAAGATACTTACTTTAGCTGCGCTTTAGAAACGTCTGCTTTTCATTTATCCCAAATATAATTAATACATCGAAATGCATACGTTTAAAGACGATGATATAAAGTAGATGAAACTTAAAAAATATCGATAACGATAGAAATCTTTCTGCAAACTTTTCGTATACTTTTGAGCGTCTATAAAGATATAGAAATGTTTCTTTGGAATTTTTATTAGCAGAGCAAATGCATACATACGGTATGTACGAGTTGCAGAATTTCTGTATCAAGTAGGTATTTATTGACAACTAACTAACAGCTCGAGATGTTAATCTTAAAATATTTTATCGTTTTTCTCACATACTGAGCGATGCTTCAATTCATTATTGCACGTACTTTCATTGTGTAAGAGCACTTGCAATTCCGTGCAAGCAGTACGACACAAACTCTGCAGAAAAAAACAATAGTTTGTCGATAAAGTTTTCAAGTACGGCATCCTCTTGACCTCCTCGCCGCGGGGAAACATCGTGAAAGTTCCATTATACTGCTACAAATTAATATCTCGCACTTACGAGCACGGTTATTATCATACACGAGCCAAGTGCAGTCGATCCAAATGATACAGTGTGACCTCGCGGGTATTTACGTACGGTGACAGTCGTAAATCGCAGAATAGCGGCGAGACACGGGCTCGGTCGAATACGGTCTATTCATTTCGTCCCCCGAGAGAAAGCTTACAGGCCCACGGCGTTATGCCTATTAGCGTCTAATGAGCAAAACCGCCCTGGTCACGCTCCGGAAACACACACACCGCGACGAGGGAATCGGGAAAGCGCGATTGGAGCTGACCGGAGGGTCTCATAGGACTTGTTGAGTCTCGTAAACTAACAAAGCGTCGAAGCGGTAATGCCGGCCATAATTCGCGACGAGTTACGAAGCGCACGGTCGCACTGGGTCGCGTCGCCGTGCGCCTCGGAATGGCATAATTGGTATATAAAGTAGAAATTAAGTTGGTAGTCGCGAGGAGCGCGCGCGAGAATGAAACTGCGTGCCGTGGACTCGCGAAAAGGGACCCCGTCGCGGCGTCGGTACCACATCGCGGTTATTGCCTTCGTATTTTCGTCGGTGCGCGCGTGTATTTTCCATGGCGCGGCGCATTTAAATTACGACACTATAAAGTCCGCAGGCGGCCGATGATAAAACCGCGAAAAATACGGCCGAGTGTATACGCGCCTTCGATAATAGCGACAGTGTTAATCAGCGCCGTGAGAAATATCGGTGGCGATTATCGGATGCGCGAATAAGGCGCGGCCAATAAGCGCGCGCGGGGACACACGCGATAAGTAACGTATGCGCACAGTCGATAATTTTTGCCGAAACACTCGATTCGCCCTACTTCGAGATTGATTCCAGTTTTTAAGTGATTCCGCAGTTCGCGCCAAGGAACTGGTTGCAGAAGCGAATCGGCGATTATTTCTTGTTTTTCTTTTCCCCGCTTCTTATCATCAGCTGCCGTTTATTACGTGAATTGTCCGGAATCTGTAACGCGCGCGCGCGTGTAACATCCAAGCCTTCCTCAAAGTCCACTTCGACCTACCGATCGATACTGTGAGATTCTCAAAAAGGCAGCATCTTTGAACGATCGATCGCTTCATAGTTCACGTGATACAATTTCTTTTTATGATATTTGATATCATGATCATGATATCAGTCTACAAATTGCTTCTCTCTAGTTTTTGGAACTCGAAATCATATTTTACCCAGGAAGATCCCGTAATTTCAGTGAATTTAGACTTCGGCATTTGGAAATGCGCGATGTCCGTCTTCACTCATGGTAATTGGTACGAGTCACATTATCCCGTACCTGCAGCATCGAAAGTCGAAGTTGCTGAAGTTCCGTCTTCTCCGATTCTCCGGCTCTCACCGCGCGTCCAATCTTCTCTGATGTACTCGCGCAAAGTCAACTAGAGAAAGAGACAAAGAGAGAAGGAGCGAGAGGGGCGGGGGAGCTGCAGCCGGGGCTGCTGCACCCTCGTAAAGTAACGAAGCGTCGAAGCGCCGTAACGCGCCGCATAATTTCCGATGAGTTACGAGACGCGCGCCCATGATGGCCGCTGCGGCTCGTAGCGCTGCAATTGGCATATAAAGTAGAAATTAATATAGCGACGAGCACGCGAGTCCCGATGAAATTCTGAAAAAAAGTTCGCATCTGCCGGCCTGAGGGCGAGAGGAGGGACCGCAAAAAAGGGGGACAACCGTGCGCGCTGTTATTACCTTCGAGGCCGAATCGCCTGCCTCGCGCGAGTGAGAGCGCTTGTGCGTGCGCGGGGGTGGAGGAGAGGAAGACACATAAATATCCTTACCGGTATCTCTGCAGTAATTAGCGCCGTTATCGAGGCGCTTGAATGTAAAGAGCTCCGCGAAATGAAGACGTCTGCCCGTCAACGCACGTATCTCGTAATTGTAGCAGCGACAGTAACATCCGAATTGACATAAGTAGAAAATTGTCCTACTAATGAACAATTGGACTAAGTGGACAGAGGAAGAGACTTCAGATCAGATTCTGTTTTCCTTTGACAAGAGTTACGCACTATTGCATCGCGGAATATTCCTAATTATTTACGCGTTACATAAAGTGTCCAACGTAAAGTATCCTATAATTCGTGTACACGCAGAGATTAGGTCAAATTGAACATAAAGTTCCTCAACCACATGAAGTTTCGCGTTATTAGTTAAAGAAGAGTGACGAATGATCACGCGATACAGTGGATGAGCTGTGATAGCGAGATCGTCATTATGTGTTTGTGGGTTTAGTCCAACTGAGCTTGCCTATACCATTTTGCAAGTAAGTGTAGATTTTTTAGTTATTAATTCAAGAAGATTAGCGAATGATATCGTGCGTGTGACAATGGATCAGTGTTGTTTAATTAATTACTAAAAATCTACGTAGTTATTTGCGAAATAGTGGAGAACTTCTTTCTTCAGTTTGACCTAATCTACAAACACACGACTGCAGATGTCGTCGTTACAAACCCATATCGCGAGTGATCACTCCCTAATCTGTTTTAATTGGTAGCTCAAATTTTCTCACTTTGTGAGATGATAGAGGAATTTTGTGTTCAGTTTGATCTAATCCACATGTACGAAGTATGGGACATTTTGCGCGCGTCAGGTGCTCGCATATTTAAAAGTATTAAAATACTAATTGGAAATAAGTGACGGTAATTTCCGTGGCGTGTATATCGAGGGAGAGATCTACATTTCGAGTTATCCAATCTTGGCAGGGAGAAATTTCCTCTCGGATCTTTTCTCTCTTCATAAATCAAGATGCCTCGGATTCTTCTTCTACTCCTCCTCTCATCCTCCACCGCCTCTTTTCTTCTCGGTGTTTCCGCTGCCGGCGAGAGGACCTCTTCCGCGGCCTTCCGGCGATTACGATCTATAACGATGTATTTCGGGGACCCTGTGTCACCCGGCTTGACAAATTAGCGTCCTAACGAGAGGCTTCCATTCTGAAGATCTCATCTTGCCTGGCTCTCGCCTGCTCTCGTGGTAGTCATGCATTTTAATGATTTACCGTGAAACTCCCAACTTCAGTTGTGAGCGCAACCATAGAAGCACGGAATTGCGCGTTTTCTGCGAGCTTGATCTTAACAGAAACAAAAAGTCGTTTATTCGAGAGAAAATTGGGCTCAAGAAGACGAAGACGCAAGTCTCGTTTCGGGAAAGACGTTTCGTTTGGGGCAAAAAAGCACACAGCCGGTGCTCGGGCGAAAGAATAAGCGTTTACGTCCTACGTCGCCGAAGGATATCGTAATCCGATATCGCGTGATCACTACTACTTGGATGCATCATCGACCGTTTCATTTCTCGTTCAGCTGAGAAGCAGATCGTACCATTCTCCGTGTATGTATATTTCCGGAGACTACGCGTTAGGGGCAATATTCGACGTCCGGCAAGAAATCACGTTGGCGTGCTTAGCGTTATCCCCAAGTTCGAGCTGTCAAAGACGGACGAATCTAGTCGACGCTACTTGTGCTGCACCTCGAATCTCGAATACATCCCACGTGAGAATTACATTATAATCGTTACAGACGTTTTCTCCTCGAACGCCTATTCCTGCCGAGAAAGCGCGAAGAAACTTATTAAAACGCGTATATGGAGGGACACTTGGGACACTTGGGACCACGCTTAGCTTTTTACGCGCAATAGGAGTAATCGAATTTCAAGGGCCAGCTTGATATCCGATGCTCCCTCCTCCCTCTTCGCTTTACTCCCACATGTTGGGCCGTGGTCACGCGTAGACAATGATCCCACATCCATCTATTAAGAAAAAAAAAAAAGGAAAATCGACCGGGCGATCTCGCACGTATCGAAACTTATGTGGGTGTATCCCTTGCTGAGGTGCGTAGGGAGTCTCGTATTACGTATCCCTTTTATATGCGTATGTAAATGCACCGGCAAGGGCGTAGAATCGAAAGGGGAGAAAGCAAGAAGAGAGCGCACACGTGTACGTGCGCCGCTTCCGTGAGCTTACGTGGACTTTCGTTTTCTATGCGCTAATATGTCCGTGAACGGCGTATAGTAAAACTGGAAGTGCGCATTTTCCAGCCGTGTTATTATTGCAACTTTGTCATTCGCGCGATGCGCGTACCTGATAGTGCGCATTTCTCAGTCACGTTGTTTGTCCAATTTTGTCGTTTTCACGCGATTTGTGTGCGTTTAAATTAGGAACGCGCGCGAGGCCGACCGCTGCCGGGTATTTCGAATTTCATTGCGCGTTGTGTTTTCAGAGAATAAAAACTCATCGTGCAGAAAACAAAGTCGTGAAAATTGTATTGCGATAGCGGGACATAATTTCACTTTACGACAGCACGTGAAAGCAACAAACATGGGGTTTTTGCAGTTTTTATTGTGATTTTTACGTGCGAATCTGCGAAAGATAAACTCCGTGAATGTAATAATAAATGTCGCGAACTGGGCTGAAATAAGATATTGTGTACTTCCATGGCGACCGAGAAAATAAAAATAAAATATAGAATATTATTGTGTAATATGTTCTCTCTCTCTTTTTCTCTCACGCACACACACTCTCTCTCTTTTCATTGTAACAACGATATTTCCTTACAATTGTACAATTGCAATTATAACGTCGACAATAGAAAGAAAGAGTATTCTTCTCGCTAGACGTGCAAAACGCTTCGACGCCACTGCGCGACTATGTACACGTGTACATCACGTTTGTATCCCACACGTGTATAGTCTGTATGTGCATCGAAAGCACGATCGCTATCCCACCCATATCCTCTCCCCTCCTGCTCCCTTAAAATTTCGTAGTCGTATATCGTAACAAATGATTCTTTATTGGCCAAACCTCTTTCCCGTGAAAGTTTATGTGCGCTTCTCACTTCCTCTTCATCTGTTTTCCGCGCACGGCTCGCTCGATTGAAACGATGGCTTGACACTACGTACTTTGTAATAATTAAATACCATGTACATTACGTTAAATGACATACGCTTGCTAATTGCGAATAATTAAGGCTGAAAAAACGAACAGTCATACTTTTAAGCGAGTAAAAGCAAAAGCTACGGTAATAAGAGTTTGTATATATATATATATATATATATATATATATATATATATATATATATATATATATATATATATATATTGATTGAGTAAAGCTTCATTCACCCTATCGAAATAAAGTTTAAAGCACACAACCGGAAAATTCCTCGTTAGACTTCGCGAGCTACTTCAGTTGAATATACGCAATGCGTAGCAGGCAGCAGAAAACACGCGATCACTAGATACCGTGGGCGTAATATCGGCAGGGCGAAACCGATAACGTCGTGGCGTACATTTGAATCGAGAGTTTATTCACGAGTCGAAGCGTTACGGGACCATAATTAAAAATTCGCTGTGTTCGCTTTGTCGGTTGGCGTAACGCAATAATTGTGTGGCTTTCGCCGCGTAATTCATTTTACAGTCGTTCTTTATGATCGTTTCGCGTTCATCCGATACGCGGTGGTAACGATGTTCCGAGAAATGTGCGAAGCTGTACGCCTATCGAATATATCGCATCGTAATTATACCTTTCTAATTCGCGGATAATGAATGAAAGACGTATCTGTCCAACGTTATATCAGATTTCAACCGGCGAAAGTTCTCATTAAGTTCTACACTAGTCGTTAATGTAAGTTTTCCGCAATCTATAAAATAATTAGTAATTATGGTAAGTTATGCCATAGTTATGCTAAGAATTATCCAATCCGCAAAATTATGATCTTTTAGTTTTTGAAAGGTAGATCACACATCTTTCTACATAAAGCCAAAAGGATCCAAGTCTTTGTGTCGAAAATGAACTAAAAACAGTTTTTATTTTCTATTAGTTGCGTCATTTTTTACTATTGTTGCGCCTTTTTTATTACTTTCTTGGGTTAAACTTATCAATGAGCACCCTTAAAGAAAAAAAATTGACTATGCTTTACTTCTTGAACTATTCCAAAGAATCTAAGTGAAATCTATACTTTTTGTATCTGTACTCAAGTATCAAATTTTCATCTTCATTTTTTCTATATATTTCGACATGGATTGAACTATTCTTGCATAATTAGATTCAGCTACATCTTCTGTTTTATTTCTTCACTCTTTTATCCTCGTTGATAGCTTAACACAAACTCTTCATACTATATTTCTACACGACATAGGATATGCATTGTAATCACACGATTACACTTTGTTTTAACAGTCTTTGAGGATTTCAGGTGTAGCGCCTGGTGTCGTGTGGTCCAGTTTCCAGCAAGTCTTCACGCTGGTGTTAGTGTTCGGTTTATAATAGATTTCACGATGGTAAAGTATACCTCCGTCATTTCGTTCCTCAATGTCGCGTACAAATGGCTCCCCTTCCTTTGTCCGACCAGAAAAGACCGATTTTGACAGGCCGTTTCCATTATTAATGATTACCGTATTGCCATAGCTGCCAAAGGTACTTATTATTCGTCCGTGTTCATCTGCGAACAAATTTCCGTATAATATGCTAATATTCCTCGTCACACACTGATTGCAACCAGCTGAGCAAATATTGGGCGTGACGTTCGCGCAATTGGCGATGCCGAATCGCACTTTATTTACTCGTATTGTAATGACAAGTGCATTTCAAAGTAGACTCGCACACACAGGGGGCTAAGAAGATTCCCGATCTTGAGAAAGAATGATGCCACTGGACCATAAGCCATGTGTCCCATTTCTGGGCAGTGAAAAATGTACTTAAAATAGGTACCAAATTAAAGGACTTAATAATAATAATAATAATAATAATAATAATAATAAGCTGATTACAAAAACATAAGTTTTAGAGTCGCCCAGTGTACCCTTCCAAAAGTCCAAAACTACGATCCAAAAAGTTCCTAAATAGGTTACTTTCAAACTGATGTTTCTTTAGCAAAATTTTACGGATTTTAAAAATTCTTCTCATATGGACACAGCAACGAATGTAAGATTCCAAATGAAGGATTAAACGCGATTCCAATTGCTGACAAGCGCAAAATTCGAAAGTCATAAAGGCACGCAATTTACTTTAATTTAAACTGATTTGAACTATTCTTTACAATCAATTTACTTTTCCTCTATTCATTTACATTTGTTTATGTTATTTCATTTAATTTTATTAAATGTAGCATTTTGAATTTTTAAATCCATACAGTTTTGCTAAAGAAACATAAAGAAAGTAGCCTAAAATTTGGAAACTTTTTGGGCCGTAGTGTTGGAACGGTAAACTGAGCGGCTGTAAAACTGATATCTTTGTAATCAGCTCATCATACCTTTAATTTGATACCTATTTTAAGTACATTTTTCACACTATAAAAACTGATATGTTAAATTTAACATTTTATGTGTCCCAAATCATTCACACTCATTTATGTGTAAATTTAACACAAAACAAATGTGGTAAAAAGTAACACGCATAATATGTAAAAAATTAACACAAGAATTTAACACTTGAATAACGTCAGAAATCACAGTTTGTGTTAAATTGACATATGTATAATGTTAAATTAACTAAAATAAAATGTTACTTTAACATTTGAAGGAAGTATTAATCTACGATTTTGATGAAATGAAAATGTTAAATTAATATAATCTATGTCTGACATATTAAATATATCAATTTAACACAACGTGTGATTCCTAATCGTATTCAAGTGTTAAATTCTTGTGTTAATTTTTTCCATATTATGCGTATTACTTCTTAATACATTTGTTTTGTGTAAAATTTACACATACATAAGAGTGGATGATTTGGAACACATGGAAGGCATTAAATTTAACACATCAATTTTTATAGTGCACTGCCCAGAAATGGGGCACATGTTGGCGTCATTCTTTACTGGAAATTCCGTGCTCGTACTCCCGACGCTTTCCTCTCGATACTAATGTAAGATTTAATTCGACACAAGCGGCGCGACTCACAGGGACACTCTGCGATTGCAGTCTAATCGCTTTTAAATTACAATGTCATCGGCTGTCGCGCGGGCGTTCGACTTTGAGCGAGTATTATATGGGAACCGACTTTTCTCGATACTAATCACCGATAACGCGATTCGATATGCTCGAAGGTATTAACTGCGCGCTAATTGCATAGGTAAACGTTCCCGCGGAATTGCACGTCAGTATCGAATTAACCGGCCGATAGAGTGGAAAAAGGCCGCCTTGAGACTTAGGAGAGCGCGCGTGTCTGTTCCATAACTTGGCCGATGGTGAAAGGAACGCTCCGGTCACGTGGAAGAACGATGTGATTTTGGAATCTCTCGCTCACTTCGAACTGTTTATCTCTCAATAACGATAAAGAATATCGGCTGAACCAGTGGCTGTTATTATGCAAACGGAAATTGTTATCAATTCCTCTTCCGTTTACGACGCAAGGAAGATTTGCGTATTAAAACGTCGATGTTATCGCGCGGGGAGCACGACGACGAAATAAATGCGCGTATCTGGGAATACTGATACGAGGTGTTTTTAAAATTGTAATATGTAGTTGTAAATTCGAAATTATAATGCGTAGTAGATTAAATGCTATTGGTAACTTGTCGTTACCATATAACGTTAAAAATGACGAGGAAGGAATATCATATAACAATAAGCTACGCGATTTTCGCGTCGGAAGAATCAACGCCAACTTTTCATGTCACAATACGACGAATTACCTCTCGGTAGATTTTGAATAGTTTTTGCGGCCTCCTCAAGCGCAGGTTGTACTTGATGCGTAAAAGTGTTCTCCAGTTGACGATTCACATTCTGAATGATACCTTGCACCTGATGCTCAATATTTTCTTGCATATGTGCCAAATTGTCATTCATACGTGCCAAATCTTCGTTCAAACCTCTCGTCCAATCATCCCAATCCGCGAGGCATGTTCCGTGAAATATGCTGCAATACAATCGCGAGGGGAGCTATTAGATAAACAGCGGATCACGCGCTTCGTTTATTTGCCTGAGTGTGTAACTGCGAACAATAGTCCATGCACCTATGCGGCGCGATGATTCATGCCCGTTCACCGGCAAAAGCGCGTATATAATGCTGGAGCAGCGCGATAGTTAAATGTTATTATTTGCGAGAATCGTATTATCACAGCTACACACTGCGCGCTTTCAACGACCGTGTGTTCAATGCCAAATATGATCGGCTGGCTAACGCTGGCTGCGCGACCTTCTCGTGTGGAACAAGTGCGACTTAGAGTTAGACGTGCCATATCAAACGAACGCGGTCAGTTAAACAGCTCCTCACGCTTGATTCGTGAGGTCTTGAAGGCGTACGCGACCAAACTCTCCTCTGAATGCAAGCATTGAGTGTTGCTTGAAATAAAGGCAAAATAAAAGTCGCGCGACGACGTGGACTGACCTGATTAACAGTGCGCCGACCAGCACAACGTGGCCGATTTTCTTCGCCATTCTTCTCGTGCAATTCTTTCTTGTGAATCCGCGCTGGATTTCTGCGAGAAGAACAACACAGGGAAACGTCGCGCTTTCCCGCAGCCGTCACACACGGAGCGAATGGAGGATCCGATTACGTTGCGGCACAACAGGTAGGCAGGTGTCTTTATACGCGCACTGCGACTGTCGGTAAGGCGTATTGCGCGCTAAACGCCGCTAGCGTTCGCTCTGTCGTGCCGCTCGGTTTCCTTGCACTTATATACACAGCATTCGCACGACGTTATCGGTGTCGCTGCAATTGTGCATGAGTTCATATGCTGCGATAGCAGTGACTGCAGTGAGTGAGCGCGATGCCTTCGTAGAAGCGAAGAGAGAGAAAGCTGTCTCCCGGAATCGGCAGGTAACGTCATAGGTGAGCTGTTAATGATACAGCACGAAGGAGAGTATCGAGAAATAAAGAAAGGATCCTTGATAAAAAAGTGTCGACGAGTAATTTCTCACGTATTTTTCGCTTCGGTCGCGAGAGACTAGGATGCGTCAGGTAAGATTGATCGCGACGGCTCTTTTGGGAGCATTATAATTCCAAGGGTCGATCGGCTCTGACACCGTGGCCGCTTGATGTATGAGAGTTCTCGTTACAATTCTCGTTGCGAAAGGGCAACTTTTCCGACCGGCGAATCGCACGCGTACACGTCCTCTTATGCGTTCATATTACAAGGAGTGTTGCGTGCGCTGGTTTCGCGCACGGTGAGTCGACATTCGGAGAATTCGAATCAATGATTTCAATTATAGCAATGACAAGGATTGTTATAATAATAATTTTTATATATATTTATTTTTATTATTTATTATATGTTATTTATCTTATATTTATTATTATTAGATTCTATCTCGTAGAATATTTTATATCAAAATAGTTCTACTCTCTATATTTCTTAGAATGGAATCTCGCTCAAAGTGTGTGTAAAGTAGCAATATTTTCACTCAAAACGATGGTGAAAATAGTGCCACTCGAAATCACAAGAGCAGATCTTTCACTTAAGCTTAGAGTGCACTCTGACTTGGTGTGAGCGAATGTTTCAATTGATTAGATCGAAAATGTTCCTGTGACGGTGGAATATATGCGTCAGAATTTTGAGTTCAAATATTCATTGTTTTAGTGGCTACTCTATTTTTTGAGTGGAATTTCACTCGAAAAGTAGAATGCCATCCGAGTCACTCGAATTCGAGTGATTTTTTACTCCCACAGAGCGAATTCTCCATTCTAAATAATAGTTTCATTTAAAATCAGAGCTATTGACAAGCAACGTTCGTCGATGAACGTGGACTAATAAAAGAGATCCATCTGTTCGCTGACGAAGATATAAAAGCCTCAAGCCTCATGATTCAAAATTCCTTTCTGCGTACACCTCGAGGACGTTTGTCAGTTTGTTTGCAAAATTGCGTGCTTCTTCGCGATTTTCTAATTTTCTTGCACAAGCAAAAATTTCTTATATGAGTCATTTAGGTTGCATGGTGACTTCATGATCGCTGTGTAGTTCTATATTTTGTGTGGACCAAAGACATGATTCATGAATCACATTGTGATTCGTTAATTGATTATTAAACTGTTAATTTCAAAACTACTTGAGACTTTACTCAAATTTTCCTAGATAGACTTGAATCCAAAAACTCTTTGGACTCGGGTAACTACACGCATCCTGTTTTTACACATGAGATTTGTTCACACCAGTGATTTGTTGATAATCAAACGGCTCTTGATTATAATTATTCATTAATTATAATAATTCAATAATTATAATAATTCATTAATTACAATAATTAATTATAATAATTCAATTGTCACTAATTATCTGTAACGTACGCATCATTAGAATCACTAGAATCGACTTGCTTTGTCGAGCTTTAATCGACTCGAATAAACGGAGGGATTATTTCTGTGCGCGCACAGACGCGTAGAGCATCATCGAGATCTACAATCACCGAAATTATACCGCTTTCAGAGTTCCAGGCTTGAATCATCGTCAGTTCGTTACACGGTATCCCTTTTTTATCTCGTCTTACATGCTGTACGCCCTAATCGTTCTAAACAGCGTAGGTAGCGCGCGAGGTAACGAGATGCGCGTCGCGAAGCCGATTAAGGATGAACGTAAGAGGATCGGGCTGAGGCCGTCATGAGAAAAAGCACGGACGATTTATTTCGGATGGACGTCAGCCTTTTCGCCCGCCGCGGGCGGATGTGCGTTCCCGGAGGATAGGTCTGGAAGCTCAAAAAGTCGCGCCTCCCGAGAACACTTTTATCGCATCTCGTGGCGAATTTTTTATCGGCTATTTTTAACGCGCGAGAAGGAGAAAAAGAGAAAACGTTTAGCGAGGCATTCTCCGTAACGATAAACCTTCGCGTCTGTAAAAATAGCCGATTAAAATGAAAGGATAAACAGTCTCGCGCGGAGATGAATCATGCTCGGTGATTTAAGAGATAATCTGTTTATGCAACGCGCGTTACAACGCTGGGGATATTCCGTCATCGATTTATCGAATCCGTAGAGGACTACGATACAAAGTGCGCGTTTAAATCATTACTCTTGTAAGGCGATGGGCTTAATGGATCCTTTTAATCTACTTTTTGCACGCGCTCCGCCGTGCGTACGCTCTCTTTCGTTGCAGCGACGATGATGACTCGCGAAATTGCAACGCACACTAATGATCAATCTGCAACAGTAACGAAATTTGTCTTTGCCCTTCCCCCCTCTCCCTCTCCCTGTTTGATGAATAAAACGAAGTTCCGCGAAAAGTTACTTCCACGACTCTAATCGCTCCTACATCCATCGCTATCGGTACTTTTACTTGGCGATTTCGTCATTGCGACCTGCATCGTCCCGCCAACACAGGATGCACTTCCCGCTGCCCGCATTGTGTCTCAGTCGCGGAGAAAGTGTCCTGACGTTACGCATATTTAATTCATAACGTTAAAGCAATGAAAAGCCGTCGCGAGGCCCACGGGGAAGAGAGTCGCGATGCAAAATCAGAACGCGTGTTGACACTGCGTGTTGGCGAAGCGGCACGAGAGCCACGAAGCTTTGTTCGCGGATCTCTCAAGTCGGCGCCTTAACCGTCCTGATCCGATTTCACGTCCGGGCTATGTTTGGCGAAGTACCGAAAACGCTAGCATACCGGTTTCCTTCACCCACCGTCTTCGGCCTTGCACGGACGCGGCCTTCCCTGTAATTATTTCTCTCTGCTCCTCGTTCTACCTGTTTTTTTCTTTCCTTCTTGGCCGCTTCTTCCCGACGCGGACCCTCAAGCGGACATTATCCGCATCGCGCCTAATAGATTCGAGGATGCTCTCCGTCGGAGTCCTAACAGATATTAATCTTCATTACGGGCCTGTCTCCGCCGTGCGCGCGATATGTCCCTGAATCGGGCATAAAATTCAGCTAACGATCTTGCATTCTAGCACTGCCGGCTGCGTTATCTACGATCAAATGAATTTGAACACGACATCGCTGTGCGCGCGAACTGCGTTCTCTCCAATCGCAACCGCCCCAAATTATCAGACGGAATTATTCGGAAGCGTTCCGTGAGCATGACTTTTAATTATTGCCAGGCTGGCGATTATCATTGGAATTAGAAACTTAGTGAAATCACCGTCACCGGAGATCGGCGAGGTGAAATCATCATCATCGTTGATCTATCCGCATGTCGCGCCGTCGGTGTAGGCGCATGTTTTGTCGACGTGCTCATGTCAAAACGGAATACGGTTTGGCGATAAGAGGGCGTAAGGTCACTCTTCACAGACGATTAAGGAAATACCACACTTGAAAACTTTACCGACAAAATACTGATTTTTCTCCGCCTAGTTGTATCAGCTGCGCAGAATTATAAACGCTTTACACAAGAAAAATACCCGCGAGAATAAAATGTGGGAATCGAATAAATCGTTCAATATATGACAAAATGATAAAAAATTCCAATGTTGATATTCCCAGTGTAAATTAGCCTCGTTCTGACTTTGCCAGTTAAAATAAATATTTGCTTGATACGAAAGATCTATGGCTTGTTTATACTGAACGAGTTCACTTCATTCGGAAAAATTTCAAAAAATATTGCTGTGTGTTTACACTTGAACTTAAAAGTTTAAAAATATCGGAAAAGTTTATAGAAAGTTTCTTATATATGCGTAGTTAAGTTTTCCGCTGAATATACGGTAAAACAAGGCAAATATTAGAAATTTACTTTCGTTCTGAACAATCAAGTATTTCATATATATTTATTTTATTGTGCCTACTCTGCATACGCTCTGCTGATAAAGTTATTATTATATATGTTTTCTTCTTAATCTCTCTGTACGACAACGGTTCTCCTCAAGGTCGGGGAAGGGGGGAGGAGGGAGGTCGCTGGTGCGGCGTCTTTCTCTATCTCTCTCTCTCTTTCTCTCTCATTCACTCTTTTTTTCCTCTGTTTTTGCTGTCAACTTTTCAGTTTTTGCGAATGGTTCTCACGGCCCCAACATAAATAATCGGGCCATGTTTATATAATGAGTAAACTCGAAAACGTCAGTCTCTTTTAGTTTTTCTAATAAAACACTTTCATAAACTGAATGTTCAGTCAGTTGTTTTTTCCATCGGGTGAATTTGCTTAGCGCTTGATCAGTGAGGAATCATCATCGTGGAAGAATTAAGTAAACACTCTCTTTACACATTTCTTCGAATATCACTATTGCGACGTTTGAATCTGAAATACTATATGTTATCATGTGTTTATATATCACGTTATCTTAAATTTGTTTTCATATCATTCTGTGCTGTCACGTCGGCTCCTGTCATAATCGATTTATGCGCAAATGTGTCAGTAGTTCCTCTCAATTTTGACATCTTGAAGCGCTGCAACTTCAGTGCTCGAAATGCATACAGACCGTTTTGTGACTCAGTGTACAAGAAATGCGAAAAGGATAGCGTAATTGTATTAGTGACGATTGTCTTTCCATCATCGACATTTTTGGAGCTCGTCATCGACTCCAGCAACCTCTTAATACGCGATAATGATCGGTCGGAATTTCGGGGCGCGCAGCGCAGCGGAGCGGAGCAGTGTGAAAGAGAATTTTGAGATAATCGCACCTGCAACGTGTTCCGTTTCGCACACTAATTGTTCGCCATCGACTCATTTGGCCCACGCCCTTTCTTTATGTTACCTCTGCATAACGGGGCTTGTGCATCGGGCGGGAGCAATTAAGTCAGAGATATTAACTCTTAAGTGCATAGTGCATCGGCAAGCTCGCAGCGCATAAACTTCAATCTGCTCTCTTCGAGATGCACTCGCGAGATCTTCTGTATCATCTAAGTACACTGTGAAAGAACAAATATCCAGAAAATAAGAGAAATATTTTATATTATAAATTCGTGGCGGAACACTAATAACATTTATTTATAATAGTATACGTTCTTTTAAAAAGCTTTTTTCAAATGAGAACAAAGTATATGCGATAATGCGTTATCGAGTTGCGACAAGTTGGTATAGACTAGGAGGTAGATTAGGAGATTAGAAAATGAGAAATATTGACTCGGTGAGTACTAATAAATATTTATTCAAATTTAAAATATCTCTTTTAAATAGAATTAGCATTGCTTTCTCATTAAAGAGAAATTTTGTGATCAAACTGAACACACAAAATTCCTCCAATATTCCGCAAACAACGGTGTAATATATTGATTTATTATTATTAATTGAAAAAGACTAGTGAATAATCGTGACAAAAAAGTTCTTTATTATTTTACAAATAATACGTAGATTTTTTAGCTATTAATTAAAGAAGAAGATTAGTAAAAGACTTTGCACATGATCGTCCGCCGATATTCTTTAAGTAGTAACTCAAAATTTTAGTAATTATTTTAGTAATTGTTTGCAAGATAACGGGTGAATTTTTTGTTCAGTTTGATCTAATCTACTTGTACACACTGTGAAGAACTGTCGGACATCCTGTATATTTTTTTAAAACTGTCTCTCTTTAGTGAGAAAGCAATTGCTCATTCTATTTAAAAAAAAAATATTTTAAATTTGAGTAAATATGTTATTAGTACCCCTCCCCCCAAATTGAGTCAATATTTTTCATTTTTCTTTCTCAATGTACACACATACCTATTATTATATGGTCTTCTTAAATGTTCAAACAAAAGAAAAATAGTACATGTTTCTTATTTCATGTCTTTGTCGCATCTTCTTATTGACTTTGTGTCTTACTTAACTTCACGTTAAGTTTATTTACATTTCGCGAGTTCCTAGGTGGTTGACACAGTTGCATAATTCTACTTGGGTAAGAAGTTTACGTGCACTGACGGCCGGAGACGTTTCTCACGATCGTTACCGCTCGCGAATTATGAGGACCGATGCGCGAACAATGGCCCGCATTATTCGAATGACACTCGATAAGACATTTAAATCGGCTCACCGCTCCTCCGCTTCTGTCTAAAATCTCATAGTTGCTAACGAGCGTATTGAAAGTAAATTGCAGCTACTCGAGCTCGCTCCCTTTGACTACCAAAGCGCAATTTTACGAGCGCTAAGAGTCTCAAAGCGACGCTTCGCTACTCTCAGACACCGCTCATTGAATCGCACAAATCGCACGGACGGGCGTCTCTCTCTCTCTCTCTCTCTCTCTCTCTCTCTCTCTCTCTCTCTCACGAGAGAATGCATAAAAATACATCTTTGATCGATCACGGATGCTGATCGGTAATCAACGTATATTATACGGATGTAAGAAATGAATCATGCATAGATCATTGAGAAATCCGCTGTAAAGCGATTTAGTAGTCCGCTTTAGTACTCTAGAATAGAGAGACAGAGAGAGAGAGAAAGAGAGAGAGAGAGAGAGAGAGAGAGAGAGAAAGAGAGAGAGAGAAAGAGCATTCATAGCGGAAATTGCGATTTCCTTGCCTCCTATAAGGCGTGTATAGGATATAGACAGGATCATCGAACGCTGACTTGTACGCTTCCTTCGGTTTCGAATAATTATACGTATGGGAGCTCCCTTAATTGATTCGTCATGGAGTAAGTCCTTGTACGGAGGAGAGAGATGCATCCCGCGGGACGTGATTGCAATTTACGCCTGGAGTGAAAGTGAACTAGTCGCGTTGCGCGTTTGGCACAGACTTTTCAGTCTCCTGGGATTCCATTGCGAAGCTGGACGCATTCCTCGACGGATTAGAGTGCACGAAGTTGCGACAGAATATCTTTCTCGAGCATTTTATAACCTCCTTAGTGGTGATCTAAAATGCCCGCACGATTCTCCCCAAAATGAGTTTTTTCTTTTTATTTTTTTTTTTAATAAGCATATCTAGATTTTTTGCTGTTTATTGCTATTTTTTTTAAAGAATTAAAACTAAGCAAAATTCTACTTCAGTAGAAGTAGAATGCAAAATGTATATCTAATTTGTATTTGCTATGAATTAAAAAAAAGCTCAATAATTTGAATAAGTAAAACAAATTTGATATTTTATCGCAGAGCTTCTTCAAGTACACCACTTAAGGAGTTAAGTATTACTTTGAGAAGCTAAGAAATCAAAATATTTATAAAGAAAATAATTTTCATATCTCACGCAAGTTCAGAGAGCGGCTTGAGAGAGGATTATCCCGAAACTATTTTTCTTCCTTCTACAAACCTGCGTATCTCGTGCGTGACCGAGTATACGAGCGTTCTTAGTCAGCGTAAATCGGTGAGACGCGGAGAAGAGATGCTCCGAAAAGTGCATCGGCACTTTCACACGACGCTCCTCGGTTCCCGTCGAGTTCTCGTAGCGTTTCAGCCGATCACCGGCACGCAGAATAGAGTTATAAAGCCCTGGAAAATAACGTAACTGCCGGCCGAGCACTTGACACCGGATTTTACACGTGGACTCGATGGAAGTGGCTCGTGCATCTGGGTAAGGTTTGGAAGAGAGAGAACGGGAATCGGGAGGATGTAGGAGGATGTTGTTGTTGACCCACGGGGCAGAAACAGGTTTCGAATTCGGATTACGCCGACCCGAAAGCGCTCCACACAAACAGTCGCTCGACCACGCCGAGAGGTGTATGCACACGTGTATGCGTGTGTGTATGCGCGCATCGACCCCCCACGCAACCTTCCCATATAGTAAAGGTACTCTCCTCCGACTCCGCGATTCTCCTTCGTCCTTGAACCCTCCTCTCTCGTCCCTGCCACCGAGCTCGCTCACGCGAGAACGGCCACGTTGCGTCGATGTATAGTACCTCCCCCGGATTCTCTCCATCGATAATATATATTCACCTTCGACTTCGCCGAAGCGGGAGCAGGTAGCGGGGAACCTAGATCGTAAACGCGTAATCATCCTGTTCTCGAAATAAGACGCATAAGGGAGGAAGGGCGAAGGGACGGAGGTGAAGAAGCGGCTCTCTTCTCGATCGGGTCCGAGTCGGCTCCGGTGCGCGAAGGGTTATCGTCCTTGAAGCGAGCCTTGGGACGGGACGTACTCCGTCACGGATGACAGGTCCCTTCTGGTCGCTTATCTCGCCCCTGTTTACCAACGATGAGGAGATGGAGGGCAGAACGGCCACGTCTCGAACGTGGATTCCAGTCAAGAAGCGATTTTCGACTCGATGCATTGAGCAATCAGAGAATCGGCTAATAATGATATTCTTTGTTCCGAGGAACTTTGTCCTGCGCACAATTCCGTCTCCGTACGTCTCCTCGATATGAGAGAAAGAGAGAGAGATATGTTCTTTTGAAAGTCTTAGGTTCGGTTGCACCAACTGAATGGTAAGCTAATTCACACTGCAAACCCAAGTGTGTTATTCTGACTGAATCTCTTCTTATGTATTTCTTGTTGTTTTAAGTCATGTTATTCAACGCGTTTCAATATATTAAATTATAATTCACACGTAAGAGTATTAAATGACGTGATTTAAAACGCCAAGAAACGTGTAAAAAGAACTTCAGCCAAATTACACACTTATGCTTTGAAAAATAACTTGAATTTACAATGAATACTTGAATTTACAGTGAAGTTCAATCATATATCTGTCTTTGTTTTTTTTCAAAATAAACAAAGACAAGAACATGTTTTAACTATTAGTTAGCTTGCCACTCGATTGGTAAGGCAATCGAGTCTCAGGGCGGTATTCATAGTCAGATTTTACCCAAACAGCATAAATGCCTAAAGTACGTCCTAAGAGACTTCCTAAAGATGTCTAAAACAGAAAGTAGAATATCCTTCAGACGTCTCTAAGATGTCTTTTAAACATTTATACTGTATAGATATACTCAAGATCGTCTCAAGTTCATCTTTAGATACTGTACGAATTTTTCCATTGACTACGCTTCATCTGAAGATGAACTCAAGACAATCTCAAATATAAGATCGGACTATGAACCTTAGGATTACTTGCCGCTGCTGTTCGACACGAATTTTGCAGTAGCAAGTAATCGAGGTTCGTCGAGAGATTTCTAACGGTGCAATTCCGCGTATATGCATTAGAAATTGTTTACGATTATTATACGCGTAAGATCTCCCACGGCGCAAATAAAACGTCAAATGACGATGATTTTTAAATGAATAAAGAACGTGCGAATATATGCGCCTTGCCACTCCTCCGATCGAACGGTATAGAACGGTAAGATGGAGCACGAGTCGATAATATCACGGTAGATATTAAAGGCGAGAGGGAAAGTTCGAGGATTCATTTTGTTCTTGGCGTCGTAGCACGTATTCGCCGCGACAAAGCGTGGTCATCGCGGCGCAGCGCGCGATGTCTTTTCACAAATTGGTTCACAGATCGACTCGGACGAATGACATAACGTTACTCACTGCGTTCCTCGAGCATCCAGGTGTCCTCTCCTTCAAGCTCCGTCATCGGCCTTCGACGAATCTACAAGCAAAATAATAGAAATGCTACGTCGACTCTGCACCGCCCGACTCGCTCTTTCGTTTCAATGCAGCGTCAAGTGGCGCCAACTTAGCGGCGCCTGCGCGAACTTTCAAACGGCCCCACTACCGCGCGCCATAGTGCCGCTCGAGAGGGAGGAAGAGAGAGAGAGAGAGCGAGTGACGCGCGGAGTCCCGCGAGAGCCGTCGTCCGTGTCGTACGTGTTTTGTGCTCGTCAGTGTTTGGGCATCAGTCACTCGTTCACTGGAAATTCGGCTTGTTTCTCTCGTCTTCGCGGCCAGCCACGCGCGCCAAAAGCAAAAAGTCGTCGTGGACGTATCGCTCGACAGTGCCGTTCGTCGCGCCTTCCTCGCGGAACGTTCGTACGTGTCGCGTCCGTCGCCGAGCTCAGTCGATTCCTCCGAGGACGTTTCTATGGATATCCGACGCGTCTCGGAGCAGTGACACGCGCGCGGTTGGTCGCCTTCATGGTGCGAGTGACATTTGTGTGACATTCGTGTGAGCCGACGCCGAGATTGGACACTCGATCGTATCAGGACGTCGATGCTGCTATGGAGCTGCACGGTTGCTGATTCGACGTCCATTTTCCGGAGCCGGAGGTGAACGACAAAAAAGTACCAGGTATGTGACGCGCGTCTTGCCGTTGTCTGTTGTTGTCGCGGGGTTGATGGTTCTGTCGCTCTGCGCGGCGGCCACAGCTTTACCCAAATAAGGCCTAATTGAGGTTAAGGAGCAACACGCTCTCTCGTCGCGATGGCTCTGCGCTCTCGAAACCGCGCGTCTAACCACTCGAGTCGAAATTTTGAATCCACTATAAATCTCGCTAGCACTGATTTGTGCGCATCATTCCGCGCCGTAATTCAAGCTCCATCTTGAATCCGCTAACGGTTCCCTTCTCATTGTTTACTTGTTTTCTGTCCGTCTAACTTTGTTATTATGCTAAATATAGATTTTATTTTGATTCCTCCTGGAGACAAATCTGTACTATCCTTGTCTTAACTTCTTTCTTCTCACTCGCATTAAATCTCCAGTTTTTACCGCTGTTTTCAACGTCAATGAAAAGTAACGAGATTATGGAATAAAAAGGTTTGTTTACTTTTGGTTATCAATCTCTGAGCCTCACAATATCGAGAAAACGACAGTCAATAAACGTTTGTAGCATCAAAATAACACAGTCTGTAGAAGTTAGATCATGAAGTTATTTATCAGTTAACAAAGAATCATAATTTCGACTCGGGCAAGTCGGCGTGATTATCTGTCGTTTGGAAACAAGAAGTCGAGTTTACACGCGATTGTCGTGAATAATCACGGTTTTTAGACAAGGTCAAACTTCTTCTCTGTATAATATGAATCTATGTATATAACGCTCATAATGCTTATTGACGTCATTAGTATTTTTTTACGAATAGTTCATTATAATTTATAATCATACGTTCACGTTGGGATTGCAGTTCACAGCTCAAGTGTTACAACGCGTATCAAAGCAATGTCACAAGTTTGCGATCAATTTTTTGTATATATTTTTCTTTCTAATAGTGATGAAATTGTTGTCACTGATGCACGTTATTGACATTTCTTGACATTATCACGAATCCATGCATTGACCCCAGCTAATACAGAGTGAGCGTGATCGAACACACATGTGTGCTAATAATTCGTACTTTCGTGTTACTCACTGTGTTATTGCCCGGACATATTGGAGTAACACTGATAACAATATTATTCCGACGTGCGCGCATTATTTAGCATGTGTTTCAACAAAATTATCATCGTTATTTAGCTCGCGTCACGTTATAGCGTCACGAACCACATCGACATCTGCGCTTGTCATATTCTTACACACGCGATTACATCAATAATACGTACGAATAATACGCCGGGGAAAAGAAGAAACGAGGAGTATATTGCGTGGCTGTTCCTCATCGCGTACGAGCGCGAGACGTTTGTATTCCCTTGTCAACGGCGTTCTTGAGTAAACATTGGAGACGACGGGTAGACCGTTTTTACATACGTCGTATCTTTCATTAGCGCTTTTTTTTACATCCTCCGACGTGTTGCCGTTCACGTCGCGAGAGTGGCCGCGCGAGATTCCGTGGCATACCGGGTGTTCGGTACGGAACGCGCGAGAGAAATCCGAGCAACGATTCTGGTATTTGACGATCCGGTTAGTTCGATTCCCTTGGGTCACTTTGTTTATGCCAGCGTATTAGATCGCGTCTTTCTCCCTCCCTCCCTCTATCTCTCTTTCTCTCTTTTGCTCTTTCTCCCTCGCTCTTTCGCTGCTTCTACTTCTTCCTTTCTTTCTTCTTCTTTATTTCTTCCTGCCTTGAAACGGAGGAAGGCCGGGCCGCCTTCGGAGCGGTACAAATCACGGACAGCGACAGAGGTCGTAATCCCGAGAGCGAATCGGTAATACGAAGGCACGAAGAAACGATACACACACATATATATCAGGGGAGACCGAGGTTAGTTGGCTACTGGGGTAAGTTGGCGAAATCGATTATTTCTACTGTTCTTTAACAGATTTTAGAATCAACGAAACAGATATTTTAAAATTATCTTTGATATGTTTAAAAATCTTGCTTGATTAATTCTGTAACTTATTAGAATGCAGCAGAAATAATCGGTTTTACCAACTAGCTCTGATCTTCTCTCTCTCTCTCTCTCTCTCTCTCTCTCTCTCTCT